AGGCGGCGGAGGGGAGGGGGGATGCACGCGGGAGTTTCTCCTCCGTCGGGATGCCCCGGGCGGGGGCGGCCCGGAGCTCCGCCTCGCGCTTTGCGGGAATGTGGATAGCGGGAAATCGACGCTGACGGCGGTGCTCACGCGCGGCTGCCGCGACGACGGCCGCGGCTTCGCGCGCGCGTTTGTCTTCAAGCACAAGCACGAGGCCTCCACCGGGCGGACCTCCTCCATTAGCGAGAATTACATCGGCTTCTCCGGCACCGGCGAGGTCGTGAATTATCAACTCACGCGGCCGCGAAAAGCCGGCGCGGGGTCCACCGGGGAGGTCGCGATGGAAGGCGGGGGGAACCCCACCGCCCGGGCGGCCGCCGTGGCGCGGCAGTACACCCCTCAAGAGCTCTCCCTGCGGAGTTGTAAGATGCTCACCCTGTACGACCTCGCCGGGCATGCGCGGTACCTCAAAACGACCGTCCTCGGCCTCACCCGGAACGTTCCCGACTACGCGTGTATCGTGATTAGCGCGAATAACGGGATTCAGCGGATGACCAAAGAGCACCTGGCGCTTTGCTTGGCGTTAAAATTGCCGTTCTTCGTCGTGGTGACGCGGGTGGACTCCACCCCGGCGAACATCCACGCGGAGACGATCGAGAATATCCACCGGCTGTTGAAAATTCCCTCGGTTCGGAAGCTGCCGTACCCGGTTCGTCTGCCGGAGGAGCTCGTGCTCGCCGCAAAGCACCTCCGAAACGACCGGATCGCGCCGATTTTTGAGGTCAGCAACGTCACCGGCGCCGGGATCCCGCGGTTGCTGCAGTTTTTGAATTTACTCCCGATGCGAAAAGACTGGGAGGAGGCGCGACGGATGCCGCGGGAGATGATCATCGATAACATCTTCTCCACCTGCGTCGGCACCGTCGTCGGGGGCGTCGTCACGCAAGGGGTGTTTCACGTTGACGACAGCGTGCTGCTCGGGCCGAACGCCTTCGGGCATTACCACCCCGTCGGGATCAAATCGATCCACGTCCTCGGGGTCGACGTCGCGAGCGCCTCGGCCGGGCACGACGCCGCGTTTTGCCTGAAAAAGATCAAACGAAGTGGGATTCGAAAGGGAAACATCCTGGCGGAGCCGAACCCACCGCCGCTCGCGTTTTGGCAGTTCGAAGCCGACATCGTCGTGCTCTACCACTCGACGACGATTACGACGGGGTACGAGCCGATGATCCACGCCCCGACCGTCCGCCAATCCGCGAAGGTGATCCACGTCGAGAAGGAGGTCCTCCGCACGGGCGACCGATCACTCGTGCGGTTTCACTTTTTATACCGCCCGGAGTTTATAAAGGAAGGGCAGCGGCTCATTATGCGGGAGGGAAATACCAAAGGCATCGGCATCGTAACGCGGGTGATGGAAAAACCGAACGAGACGATCATCATGAACGCGCGGCAGAAAAAGCGGCAGACGCGTTTCACCGGCGCCGCGGCCGCGATCCCCAGCGAGGAGAACCCCAACAATGCTTCACGAAAGAAATAAAACACCTGCCTTGCGGGATCGGGGCATGGCCCGCCTCAACGAATTACTGCGGAAGGGAAACCTACCATCTAAACACATGAGCAATTTATAAGAGAGGAGGAAAAACAAGGAAAAAGGGGGATGGAGGCTCTCAAGGGTAACAACAACATGTGCATAGATGAAGGGAAAAACAAACAGTGAAGAAGTCCATAAAAAGTGATGATGGAAGGAGAAAAGATGGAGGAAAGAAGGTATTCTGATGTGTGAGAATAGACCTCACTATTACTGTAGATTACATGCTTATTTTACTTAGTGTTTTATTATTATTATTATTCCATCCCCTCTCTTTCACCCCTCTTTTTATAAACAACAGTATGTGTATCACTGCAAATGGTAACGCGTCTTTTGTATATATGTGTGCATATATATACATAGCGAAAGAAACGTTAATCGGCATTTTTATTTGGGGAGTGAGGGGGAGGAGGAGGAAGAGAGTATGGGATGGATTGGTAGCATTTTATGCGCATATACCCAACCCACAACTTTACTGTTTCTATTATGTAACCAGGTGGTATTCAGGCAAAAGACAAAGAGTAGGACTCTGAATTTGCTAAAATATAAAAAATAAACTGCTGTCACTATACTGCTGAACCCCTCGCTACTTTTTAAAGACCGATTTCAGTGATATTTTTATTTGAGCCACAAAAATAGGTGAAACAAAATGAAGGAAACAATTCCTTGTCATGCATTCATTTTTTCTTGTTATACCATATATATATATATATATTAGATTTGCGCATTTATGATCAAATGTGCGTAAGATGCAAAATGTTTGATTATGAAATACTGATAATGTTACATGGTAGTGTATGGCATAAGAATATTCATTAGAGTATATAGTCCTTGGTTTACTATCCTGTTATCATCTTGATCTGAAGCTTATCTCCTGTAGGTAATTTACGGTGCTACAAGAAGGGGGAAAAAGAAGAGGAGTATCCAAATCGACTTTGTTTTTGTGAGGGAGAAAAAAAACGATACCGAAGAGTGCCAAGGGGAAGGGAGAATGTCAGCCATATCGGCATCTGTCTCGAAGGTGTATTGGGAGACTGCAAAATCATCCATAAGTCGGTGGATCGTGAGGCCTGCTGTGAAGGTGGTGCAGTCCCTTGAACATCGCTCACAGCGTAGGCTTGCTATGGTGGAACCTGAAACGATGAAATTCATCCAAACGCACGAGGCCTCTGGCTCCGACGCCGCGAGAGCCCTTACAAAGATCCACCTGAAACAGCAACGACAGCTCTTATATTATCGCTTCGTACGTCTCTTCGCCGAATTTCGATATCTGTTATCCGGGCAGTATTTCAAAAACTACACTATCAAAGATTTCGTTCAGGATACTCGGATGTTTACACAGGCGTTGTTCATATTTATTATGGCGGTGATGGTTGGGCGGCAGAGTGTGTTCCCGCCGATCGATCCGGATAGTCCATTTGTTCTGGGGTTAACTCAAAAAGTGAACCCTAACTATTAGAAGAAGATGAAGTAGTATATGATTCTTAGTTATAACATTTATTTTGTAGTCGTTGCATTTCTGCAAATATTTGTTCCTCTCTCACAGAGTGTTTTCTGCAAACATGTGTTTAGTTGTTTTCTTGTCTGGGTGTTTGTGTGTGTTTCCCCAACTTTTCCATTTCCCTGGATCAGGTTAGTGTGTGGGAAACATTGAATTACGTATCGATAGTAGTGATAGTAAGTTATTTTTTATTATTATGGATATGATTTTTTTTCTGGAAACGTGGTGAAACAAGCTGAATTGAGGAAGACGATGGTGAGAGGTGGTATGTGGTGAATCCCATTTTGGCTTCTTGTGCGCGTTCAATAGGCGTTTTTTCCCCTGCATGGTGGCAAAACTTGACATCTACGTGGAGCTAGGCTCCGTTTCCCACCTTACATGCTGAAAACGTTTACAGTGACCTTAATTTAGTACGTTGTAACGACAACAAAGATAGGTGCCTCTGCACGCACATATCTCTTTGGTATTGTTAAATATTATCGCCTAACTTCATCCTTTTTGTTTTAGTGTCTGTGTGAGTGTGTGTGTGTGGACGGGGGGGGGGGGTTCTTTTCTTCGCTAACTTTTGGCTACCATTGCTTTTTTTTTATCCTCCACGGTTTCATTCTGTATTTCCCTGCCAGTGCCTTTGTGAGTGTCAAACGGCCGTTTAAACAATAACAACAAACTAACTAGACCATCTCCCCCAAAGGAAAAAACAAAACAACAACAACAAAAAAGGTCTATAACCGGCGTCCAGAAGGTTTTTTTTGGTATACCCATTATCCACCTCTTTCACACGAGCATCCACGTCCAGCGAAAGGGGGAGGGGAGAGAAGTGTGTTAGCCTGGGTGTGTTATGTCCGTTTACGTTCCAGGGGATCGCCTGTGGGTGCGGCTGGAGGGTTTTGACTGGTGGCCGGCGCGGGTGATCACGCAAGAGGCCTTCCTCGCCGCCGGCGGCACCGCCGTTGACGGGATGGATCTCCACGTGATGTTCTACCCCGGCCTCGCGACGGAGCGCAGCATCAGCGCCCTCAACCGGGCCGCCTCGGCGGATCACCTCTGCGCTTTCGAGACCTCCTCGGAGAAGGCGGTGACCAACGACGAGGAGCTCCGCGCGGCGATCCGCCACGCCGAGGAGGACCCCACGGCGAATCCGCTCCAACCCGCCACCGCCCCGACCCCGATCCCCACCCCGACGACGACGATGGGAAGTCAAACCCGCCCGGCGCGTCC